CTATTCTATTCTATTCTATTCTATTCTATTCTATTCTATTCTATTCTTACATTCACCTGGCCTGTAGGAAATAATCATAACAATAGTTGATACTTACTGAATAAAAATTAGAAGAGAGCCACAAAATGTTTAAAACAAATTAACCTAATTTACCAACCTCTATGATATACACTATTCTAATTCTAATTATTAAGAGGATGGAACTCAAGAAGAGTAGGGTCAAATAAGGAACAATGACAACAAGTGAATTAACTGGGGTTTAGACTGAGGCAGCTTGGTCCCCCATTCATGATCATATTACTAACCTATTCAAAATCCCTTTTTTAAGCTAACAAAAGTCTTGTAACAATTAAGTAACTCTCCTTTTTCTTCTCTCTATTCATTTACGGATGTGCATGCTAATTCAACAGGCACTGCCCTAGTTTCTAGTACTAAAGAACATGTCAACCTCCTCCCTTCTTTTCTCTTCTTTTGAGGGAAGGGATAAAAAGTGAAAGAAATGTGATCATCCTTAATACCAGCGTACTCAGCAGAGCATCAGACATTCAAAAAACTTGAGTAGAAATTTACGTATTTTATGACCTAAGGTTGTCCTTTCTTGACAATGAATAGGCTTAGATATTTACAAGGTGTCTTCAGTTACCTGATTTCCCCGAACACTGCCCCAGCTTTTAGGGTAACCAGAACTTGAGCACCGCTGGGGCCTCCAAGAACTTGGACTTCTCCATGCTTGATGATGTACATTTCTCTTCCAATTTCTCCCTAAATGCCATATGAGAAAAGGAAATTTTAATGTAGTATATATATATATATATATATATATATATATATATATATATATATATATATATATAAACCCGACTGAAGAAATCTAACATCTTCTAGAAGAGCAAATACAAATAAAGAAAGCAAGGAATATCACTGTAAAAGTAATTTATTTTAAGGCCTGGGTTGTTCAAGGTGTTGGTTAGACATGTCTCATGGACCAAAATGACTGGGAAGACAGTACTTTCCATCATGTGAGCCCTGTAAGTCGTCACATGAGGAGGCACACTGGTCAGTGTCTTAGCTCAGAAGTGGGCATGGGCGGAGAAAGTAACTGATCACATGGAGTCTTTCGATTTTGGTCTCCACTGCTCTCATCTAAAGAAGATACTTTGTGTAACAAAAGAGTGTGTGTGTCAGCCATTCAGAGTCAAACTTATCTTCTGCTTATGTCACTGAGGTATGATTCAGGAGATAGGACACCCTGAAGCTTTTATTCCATATTGAAAGACCATGTCAACGCAGTTGTTTCTTTCTTTTTTTTTTTCACTTTTCTTCACATTTTTTCATTATGATCACAATTGAAACCCATCCCTCAACTCCCCCCACTCCCACCCTCTCTTTTTCTGCCCTAATCCCCTTCCCCTAGACCACTGAAAAGGGGAGTTCTCCACCATTATGGATAGAGTGCAGTTGCTTTCATTAAGTTCTTGATTGTATTTGAGGAGTCTCAAGGCCAGAGCTAACTAACAATTAGAGGTAAACTAACAATTTACCTCTTTGGATGTTTGCATAGTTACTGATCAGTGATGCTATTTTGTACACATGAGGCTTTATGGATATTCAGATCTGATTATAATAAAATAAAATAGCAATCATTAATAAATGGAGGAAATAGTATTTAACTGTCTCTGGAAGTTCTTTTGATACCTAGGGTTATTTTCCTGAACAGCAAATGCTTTACAATTATCCGTCAGGTTGGAATATACAACTATGAGATTTCACCTCCTAATTCATATCTGAGAAACTGAAATTCTTATACTAAACATATACTTATTTGAATTACAGGTTGAAGCAGAAATTGCAATGTATATAGGTTTTACTATAGCTATTTTTTATGATTATCAATGCCAATAATATTTTGCTTTTGTGCAGTACTTGGGAAATTCATGAAAATATGGGTCTGTAAACTGTAACCAGGTGGCTTACAGCTCCCTCTAACTCAGCTCCAGGGGCTCTAATGTCTTCCTTTGGTCTCCTGGAGCATCCGTAAGCATGTAGTGTATACTCACACTGAAACACACACATATACATAAACAAAAATAAATCTTGAAAAGTTTTCAAGATAGCAGATATTTGCATATCTCCTTATTTTAAATCTCATATATGTTCCCACAGAGTGTAGCACTTTTTATCTCAAAAGTATTTTGTACATAGTACTTCACTTAATTCTTGCAAAAATCCCAGTGAAAGATGTCTTTTATTTCCTTTTTTTTTCTTTAAGTTGGAGATAGAAACTAAGTAAGGTAAGTGTCTCAAGGCAGAAATACAAGGCTGGCAAGTGACAGCATTAAAATGACAACACCTTCATCACCTGACATACAGAGGCACTACATCTAAATGAATACAGTATCAAGACTGATAGTTTAGTAACAAATGAAATAACATGAATAAGTTAAAAATAAAGTAAGTCATTTGAAAATTAGTGTTCTTTTCACTCTAGAAAGTGATCATTAGGCCAGGGTAATATTCCTATTTTTAATTTTTTATTTTTGCGTGAAGTAATTTCAAGGAAATGGAATGCTGTTACAACTGGCTGTAAGTAGACGTGCATGATGGGTACTTAAATACAGTTCAGCACTTCTAATTATTTCTTAATGATCATTTCGATAATTTCCCAAGGAGATCAGGCATAATCAACGAACCCAAACTTCCATTACCTCTTGCATATTTTGGGTTCAATTTAAGCCTTTTCTGCTAGCTTAATTAGCAGTTAGACGAGGTAGACATCACTTCAAGAGAATAGAGGCTGACAGCAAGTACAGAGCAAGATTGAACCTAACTTATGACAGTTTCATGTGCAAATTTGGAAAAAGTGTTAAAAGGTAAGTACTTCAGGTAGTGCAAGGTAACTCTGAGTTAGTGTGTATGTCAAAAATAGTAGGATTCTTGTGTCAGCTATTTCTGAGGCTAGTGGGGGGGCACCATGACACCCAGGGTACTTCATCAGAGAAGAGAGATGGTACTTGGTGTGGCTCCTGGACCCTTAACATCATGAAGAGCTCCTTTGGAGGCGAAACTCCCAAACCCCACTGCAGAAACATTGCATGCAAATCTTTGGAAATTAAGTCCCAGAAATCCAAGCCTTGAAAAGCCACATGGGTGTTTTCTGTACGGCAGCACCGCATCTGAGAAAACTCCCACGCAGTCTGAAAGGACCACAAGCTTCCCCAAAGCAATTTAGAATATCATACCCAAACTCTGCCATTGCTTCAGTTATTTAGGTAACCTCTAATTGAACATGACTTGCCTTTCTTTCACCTTTTCTGCAAGTCTCTGGGGGAAATAGTAAATAGATATTAATTTAATTCAGCTATCTAAAGTTTGGTCAAGTAACAGCTTTCCTTCTCTGTCAATATCTAGTACTGTGAAATATTCACTTAGAAATAAAAGCAAACCTAAAAACTGAAGCAAAATCAAAGAGCAATAACTTGAATTCTTCTGCCTTCTGCCTCCTCTTCCTCTACCTATGTCATTCTTTTCCTCATCTCTGTGTTCCTCTTTATTATCGGATAAATCAGTCTGATGATTGCATTGGAACGGAGAAAGCTACATCCCTGCACCTCACACTTCCTGAAGCACTTTTGCACTGCTTCGAGGTCCAAGTGCTAAAGTTTCTGTGTGTTTTCTCGATAGCCAATGACTTCAGTCACAACTGGAACGCATTTTAGTGCGTTAAGTCTGTACCGTTCCAGTGCGCCACTGCCCCCTCAGGAACTCTTGCACAGTTTCTTTTGTTTTTCCTTTCTCCATGTCAATGAATGTGGTTTCATTTCACTTTCAGTCAGCCTTATTTTATGGGGATGAGTTTATGTGGGACGTACATGGTTGGTTTACAGTGTGCCGGAGTCCTCTTTTATCATTCATAACTCCTTATCAGCTGCCCACTTTCATTAATCCTCACAGATGTCTTTCACACTCTTCGTGTCTTCAGGGACAGCCTTCTCTCTCACACCATGCCTTGAGCTTTTAAAGCCAGTTTCCATTATATTCCAGTTTGCAAAACATTCACTTTCCATTTCATCTTTTTTCATCTCATTGAGTCCACCGATGAGCTGGTGTCTTCATCTGATGCAGTTGAAGTATTTCACCCCTCATTTGATTTTGTCTTTTCCCACTATTTTAGTCACTCATTTGCCTCCATTCCTTGAATGTGACAGGCTCTGCCTTGCCTCTTGGATCATTGCTGAAACTTCTCACAAAAAATATTAGCCTATCGATTTCTTTTTTTTTTTTTTCTTTTTTTCAACTAAAGGACTATTTATCTTTAGATTTTTACAAAGGTCATAATTGACAAACTGACAACTTTTCTCTCCCAACATCCAAATAAATAAGTTCCTTTAGGACCCTGTCTGCCTCTAACAACTTCTGTTTCTACCTAAATAACATCACGTGTTACAGTTGTGCATTTCTTTAAGTTCTGTTTCCTTTATCTTTCAGCAGGTCGACCTTTCTCACGGATGTATTTTAGAATAGGGTTCTCTTTAAATGCTAATATGCTGGCTCCGTCAGTGGTAGCTGAAGGTCTAGGTGTGGAACCCAGGCTTCTAAGTGCATTTGATGCTGACACTTTAGCACTAGACTGTAAACTCCTGGAGGACAGGACCTTTGTTTTTGCTCGGTACCCATTATACTACCTGTTCCACAGTACTCAAAACTGCTTATTGCTTATGAAATAATTGAAAATTGTTTTGGCACATGTCTTACTGTCGTTCTCTACATTCTGCTGCAGGCGCAATTTCTTCCTATCTGTCTTGGCTCAAACTAGGTTTTTTCCATACGCAGGTTAACACTGAAGTCTCCTGGCTGCTGCCCTTGCCTTAGGTCAGCTTATAACCTGCCTTTTATTCCACAACTGGGCTGAAGCAAGTGCTTCTCCTCTGCACTCACTTGTGACCTCCCCAAGGCCTCAGGTCGTTTCCATTGCTTTGCATTGTACATCTTCTTTTATTTTTTATTTGTTTTTAAAACATCCACAGAAGCATATATTGCATATTGAGTATACCCCACCACAAGCCTCTACCTTCCATCTTTTTCTACCTTGCCTGTTGGTGTCCTTTGTTCTCCTAGTCATTTTTTTTTTACATTCATAATTTTATTTTATTTTTTTTTAAATCTTTTATTTTATTTTTTTATTAATTACACTTTATTCATTTTGTATCCCCCCATAAGCCCCTCCCTCCTCCCCTCCCGATCCCACCCTCCCTCCCCTTTCTGCATCCATGCCACTCCCCAAGTCCACTGATAGGGGAGGTCCTCCTCTCCTTCTTTCTGATCTTAGTCTATCAGTTCTCATCAAAAGTGGCTGCATTGTCCTCTACTGTGGCCTGGTAAGGCTGCTCCCCCCTCAGGGGGAGGTGATCAACGAGCAGGCCAATCAGATTATGTCAGAGGCAGTCCCTCTTCCCATTACTATGTAACCCACTTGGACACTGAACTGCCATGGGCTACACCTGTGCAGGGGTTCCAGGTCATCTCCACAAATAGTCCTTGGTTGGAGTATGAGTCTCTGGGAAGTTCCCTGTGTTCAAATTATCTTGTTCTGTTGCTCTGCTTGTGGAGTTCCCGTTCCCTCCAGCTCTTACTATTTCCCACTTCTTACATAAAATTCCATTCACTCTGCCCATCAGTTGGCCATCAGGCTCAGCATCTGCTTTGACAGTCTATACTGCAGAAGCTTTCAGAGGCCCTCTGTGGCAGGTTTCAAGGTGGTTTCC